ACCCCTTCGTTTGGTTGGTTTGGGTGTGTGTGTCTAAGAGGAGAAGAGGGCCTTTTTACATTACTGTATTACACATTTTAAGCCACCAAATCTTTATATTCTCTACATATATTATTTTTATTCCATATCATTATAAACAGTAAAAGATACAACATCTTGTGTGCTGGTTAAGAGGACACAAATACTTCGCATGGTTTTCACAGGAATCATTCTGTTTTCTAGAGTGGAAAATAATAATATTGCTCAGATGGTATACAAATTTATTGCATTATAAAATTATTAAAATCAAGAGAGGATGATCTAAAATACATATTTTAAAAAAATGCTGCCAGTTTAATTCCTGAAATATATTAAAATCAGCTTCATACATTTTATACCAAGCTGAATAAACAAAGCAAAACAATTGAAGAATCGCCGCCATATATCGCCCTGTCCGGTTTAAATATTGCGTGACATAACGTGACGAAGACGTGTGTTTTTTTAGCTGTTTGTTTCGTTGTTTTTGTTCCTATTTTTATGGCTTCGCCTTAAAAGTTTCTTCATTGTAATTTTGCTTCAATGTAGCATTTTTCATATTATGGGAGTTGTACAAAAAAATTACAAAACGTAAATATCGGCATGCGTAACCAATGCAATTGTATGCAACCAACTGAGTTCTTTACATATCTGTATATTTTACAAGACAAAATGGCTTAGCATTTTCACATTAAATAAATATTTGTGTATAAAGGTTAATATGTTTCTTCGCTAAAATTACCATTGGCCACAAACAGACTTACTTTTCGATAACTCCTGATAATTACCTCTGCTGAATAAACCTAATTATGTACGTTGTTCCGTCCTAGTAGCGTTTTGGACTGTCCTTGCTCGCGAGATGATACGATGCAATGATTGTACAATTGATTATTACAGTCTTTTTGTGCTAATGCCATACGAAAGTCTACAAAAAATATAGTATTCTTGTTTCACGGGTTTTTAACTTTTTACTTTTTTACCGGCTTAGACAGAAGTGAAGGAATATACAGCGCGCCGCTGTATTTTCAGTTCCCTCCGAAGTCAAACAAAAACCTTTCAACAATCATTGGGAAAATTGTAACATTTAGTTAGTAACCAAAGAAAAGGCAACAAGTTAAGTATTTTTTATACCTACCTGAAAATAAAAGCCCCAGCAAAAATGTCGACAAATTCCATTAGCGAAGGTTTGTAAACAACACGGGCTATCTTCTTTCTTTTAAAAACCTGTTTGTGATAATGTCCCACAACGTCTCTCCAGCTTTTCGAAACAGGTTTTCAGAACTCCCAAGGGACCGATATCCGCCGTCTTAATTGGTCAACAGCCAATTTGGTTACTCCCATGGGAAATACACACGCATCGTGAAAATAACTAGGGATGCCCTTGGCATCACTAAAAACAGGCGTCTTATTGTTTTGGGGGACCAAATTTTTAGCGCTAAAATCGGGGGGACGGTAGCAGGTGTTGAATATACTCGTCAGAAAATTTGGAGAAACCCCAGAAAGTTTGGAAAAACCCCAAGTGCCATGAAGGGTGTCTCTTGACTGAGAGGTTCGAGGATCATTGTGTTGTGTTCTTGAGCAATACGCTTTACCCTCACAGTCCTCTTGAGGAGTATAAATATATGGCGAACTGAACATTATGGCTCCATCAATTCCAAGCCCGCTCATCCCCCCCCGGGCATTTGTCGGGCATTTGTCATTTTTTTGGCAGAATGTTGAAAATGCCCCACGGTGGGGTCAGCTTATATGCACAAAATCCCCACAGTGGGGCTTCAAGAAGAGTGCAAATGCCCGACCCACGGGACAAGTTCAAAATTTTATTTTCTTGTGAGGATCGGGGAATTTAAAAATCTAAATTCCAAGCAGAACTATTAATGATGGACACTATAATTGTTCACAAATACATAGCCCTTTATTTATACCTGTAATCATTGTCATGGTTTTTGGAACATTTTTTTTTAAATTACAACTGCAACGCACCTCAGGAGAGCAACGAAACCCAACAAATATAAATACAACAACTTATTTAGTCGGAACTTCATGCTCATATTTCAATGTTTAACTACCTATGATAAGACAGCTTTGTAGTCAGTATAAAGTGCACTCGCAAAAGTGCACTCGCAATCTCAATTCAACATTTTAATTACGAAATCCGTATCTTGTTCCCGCAAAGGTGTTGAAGTTGAAGCTTCGTTCCGCCATCTTTGGTTTGCACGTGGAAAGTAACAGTGCAAATTTTTGGATATGTGGGGTGGGGGTGTGGCTCCGGTACACTTGAAAAGTGCGGGACTCAAACGAGGTTTAATATCAACTCAATTTTTATATTTTTCTATCGGGGGCAATCAGGAAATTTTAAATAAACAGCAAAGCATGTACGTTTTTTAAAATCCGAAATATCACGTTGCCTTTGACAATGCCCCACCCCCGGGCTGACCGGTTATAGCAAATGCCCCACCCCAGGGATGGAAAAGTTGTAAAATGCCCGACAAATGCCCGGGGGGGGGGGGGGGGGCATGGTCGGGCTTGGAATTGACGGAGCCATTAGGCAACCTGACAAAATGTTGGGAGAAACCTGAGATGACTGAGATAGGCTAGTATCCAATCCAGGGGGAGAAGCAATACTCCTAGTCGCTTCATGCATGCTACAGAAACCGCGATAAGCTGTCTCGCTCGAGTGAAAGTGCAGCTACACTTATAAAAAGCATTCGACTGATGTCAATACGTCATCGTTTTGGATGTCAGCCCCTCGTGGTTAGGGCGAGGAGATGGCTGACACTTGGCTGATGGCTGACTAAGACAAGACAAATCTCCGTTTAAAAAATTTCCAGCACCTTTGAAGCGTTTTGTGAAAACGATCACCGTTTTTCATGGTTTATATGTGGGCGGACGGCCTAATCGTATACAAACTCTTCGTTTACGTTTGAACACATACACGTAATATAACTCATTTTTTTGAACCAAGGCAAACTATGTCAACACCGAAACTTTCTTTTTACTGTCATGTTACAGACAGTAGCTTGTCGAAATAGTGGCATTGTTTACATGGGAATAAAAATATGAATTTAACTCACCAACCACAGTACCAGGGATCTCTGTCGTTTTAGCAAATACATTAGATGAATAATATATGTAGCTGTAGCTGATAACGGAACAACTTTGAATCAACGTCGTGCCAGGGTCGCGTAGCACGACAAGGCTTGTCGCGCTACGCTTGTTGATTCAAACGTCGAGCTACAGTCGCACTAACGTCGAACTTAATTTATCAATTGAGTTCGACACGACGATAGCGCGATGTTTGAACCGGGCCTAGAATTACGAATGAACTACATAGAAACATACTTCATTATCTTTCGCCAACGGGGCTTTTCGAAGACAATGGCAACTACTTGTTATCTAATGCGGGGAGATTGTTTTGGTCCTCAAAACGGGAAGCAAACTTAACGTTTACCAAATAACAAAATGATACTGTTTCAGTTCGTGGTCGATAATTATCCGAAGGAAAGTTAATTTATGAAGTAGCGAAATTTGTAAAGGTTTCTTATTAGTGAAGCTTTTCCGAAAGATTGGCTTAAGTAACAGAAACACATTTTTTAAATAATAAAGTGATCGGTGGAAAAAATGATATTCTTGCGGTGTCCAAAAACTATTCTTTGTAAATTCAGCTCTAGAATGTGCGCAACGTGAATAATTAATGACCGTATTAGAACTTAAAACTGAGTTGAGTCATAACTCTTTTTACTTTTTTATACTGTTCGGCTGAGCCAAAATTTAGAAATGTTTGCAAAACGTTAATCGACGGTTTGTATAAAATTAGACCCATGTCGGACATTAAAATTTCAACACAGAGAGGAAGTTCTAACTTAACTTAACGGAACATACACTGAGTCCAAAGCAGGTGATTTTAACATGTATATTTGTTAAACAACTGCCATGCTAGAACCGGAAATGATCGGATCATTTCATAATTATCGTTCCTCGAGTTTCAAAGAAAATTTGGCAACACTTTTGGTTAGGTCTCCTACTCGAGATACCTTAATAAGCAAACTAAAAACGTTTTCTAAAATTGAATGCAATATACGTTTTTGAAGACACGGGTTTCTAAAGGTATAGTAGCGCTAAATATTTTTTCTTCGAAAAACAAATCGACCAAAATTTAAATTTAAATTGTCAGTCTGGCAAGTATAGCTTCGTTTTTTTTATTATATAAGAATGGAAATCATTATCCTATCGTGGTGGGAAATACAGAGAAAACGGATTCGCCTAATTATTATTTGCTAAAATGTCACTCTCGGAATTAACATTCGAAAACAATCGAATATACGAAACACTTTGAAATTACTCATTAGGCCATCCCCGTAAAATGCTTTTTTCCCATCGCCCGACCGACCCAATTTTTTCAAAAAGTAAAACAAAAAAGTTTCTGATTCATTGCCTGCGCCCTTTTCTCGGGTGTTTCCAAATTTAATATGCTTTGTTTACATCTTAAAGTCACTCTGACATTTAAATCAGCCCAGTAATGACGTCTCTTCGAACACTTTTCAGAGTGATATTGGCTCGTTTCAAAATGGTGGTCACGGGAAGATATAATCAAGGCTCGCTTGGAATTATTTCTGTATAATTTGTCAATATTTCGTTTCTCGGCTTTTCTTTTTTTTTCTTTTTACCGACAGACCGACCCACTTTCACGAGAGAGAGAGAGAGGGCGATGGGAAACAAAACATTTTATGGGGATGGCCTTAGCATCCTTTAATTAAAATTATTATTTATCGAGTTCTTAGTTAGAATGAAAGTACGAAAAACAAACTAACCGGACTACCAGAACTACAAATGGACTTCTACAATTAAAACGCAAGGTTTCACACGAAAAAAAACGTCAAGTTTTAGTCAAGGGATCGATCTAGGGAAGAATAATAAAGAATATTTATATCGACAAAACTAATATAATCCTTGCATTATGCGGCAATTTCGTCTCAAGCTCGCACGAGTCTCCCGTAGCTCAGTGATAGAGCATCTTTCCGGTGTGCGGAAGGTCATAGCTTTGACTCCTGTTGGGAGAACAGTTGAACTTTTTTTTTCGACTAGCTTGTGTCTCTGACTGAATAATATCTTTCTCAATAACAAACTACGTAACCACCGAAACATCTTTCTTTCTACTGTCATGTTACAGACAGTAACTTGTCGAAATAGTGGCATTGTTTACATTGGAATACAAATATGAATTTAACCACCAACCACAATACCAGGGATCTCTGTCGTTTTAGCAAATACATTAGATGAATAATTTATGTGGCTGTAGCTGAAAACGGAACAAGTTAAAATTGACAGGCTCCAGTCAGATGTTGCAGTTTGAGCTGAACCACCCGACGGAGCTTCTCGCGTCATGTAACATTACCGACCAATTTTTGCGACGTTTTCACCGCATATAAGACCATAGTTAACATGCTATCTGTATTTCTCTGCTGTGTTTTCGTCTTGTTGGCCTGCCTGATACCGGAGACACAAGGTAAGGCTCCCTAATGTTTGAGAATGTTCTTACATTAATGCTTTTATTTATGTTTTGGCATGTATGGTACTTTTGGATCGAAAAGATGACGATAGTCAACAGTTCTTTATTGCTTCAAGATATTTACCTGTTTGTAAGCGTTCTCTTAAACTTCCAAATATGCAGGGAAAACGAAATAGCCAGGGTGTATTCAATAAACAGTCCAATTAATGTAACAATCAACACTTTTTAAAGACATTTTGAAACATTTTTCTACATCATAATAAAACGGTTTCAAACAATGCAAAATATTGAAGGTTTATCCATAGTTAATAGAGGGAAATGGTTATGATGCCCGGAAAACTTCAAAGGAGCAAACAAAGAGGCCAATATTTATGTTGGAAGGTCCATGACCGTGCACAATCTTTTGTTTTGTGCTCATCACTATGCATGAATTACGTAATCGAAACGTTTAATTTCTATTGGTTAGTTGCTTCAACACACGTAACCACCTATTGTATTTTGTCAGGTTTTGTGCACGGTCAACCCCCAAAATAGCGAACAAAAACATATAACAAAGAACTTTGCCGGGCTTCATAACCATTTCCCTCTATTAACTATGGTTTATCCAACACGCACGATCCAATACGCGACGTTGATTCAAACGTCGAGCTACAGTCGCACTAACGTCGAACTTAATTTATCAAGTTGAGTTCGACACGACGATAGCGCGATGTTTGAACCGGGCCAAGAATTACGAATGAACTACATAGAAACATACTTCATTATCTTTCGCCAAGGGGGCTTTTCGAAGACAATGGCAACTACTTGTTATCTAATGTGGGGAGATTGTTTTGGTCCTCAAAACGTGAAGCAAATTAACGAATTAGCAAATAACAAAATGAGACTGCGATAATTATCCGAAGGAAAGTTAATTTATGAAGTAGCGAAATTTGTAAAGGTTTCTTATTAGTGAAGCTTTACGAAAGATTGGCTTTTAAAGTAACAGAAACACATTTTTTTAAATAATAAAGTGATCGGTGGAAAAAAATGATATTTTTCCGGTGACCAAAAACTACTCTTTGTAAATTCAGTTCTAGAATGTGCGCAACGTGAATAATTAATGACCGTATTAGAACTTAAAACTGAGTTGAGTCATAAGTCTTTTTATTTTTTATACTGTTCGGCTTAGCCAAAATTTAGAAATGTTTGCAAAACGTTAATCGACGGTTTGTATAAAATTAGACCCATGTCGGACATTAAAATTTCAACACAGAGAGGAAGTTCTAACTTAACTTAACGGAACATACACTGAGTCCAAAGCAGGTGATTTTAACATGTATATTTGTTAAACAACTGCCATGCTAGAACCGGAAATGATCGGATCATTTCATAATTATCGTTCCTCGAGTTTCAAAGAAAATTTGGCAACACTTTTGGTTAGGTCTCCTACTCGAGATACCTTAATAAGCAAACTAAAAACGTTTTCTAAAATTGAATGCAATATACGTTTTTGAAGACACGGGTTTCTAAAGGTATAGTTCTTCGAAAAACAAATCGACCAAAATTTAAATTTAAATTGTCAGTCTGGCAAGTATAGCTTCGTTTTTTTTTTATATAAGAATGGAAATCATTATCCTATCGTGGTGGGAAATACAGAGAAAACGGATTCGCCTAATTATTATTTGCTAAAATGTCACTCTCGGAATTAACATTCGAAAACAATCGAATATACGAAACACTTTGAAATTACTCATTAGGCCATCCCCGTAAAATGCTTTTTTCCCATCGCCCGACCGACCCAATTTTTTCAAAAAGTAAAACAAAAAAGTTTCTGATTCATTGCCTGCGCCCTTTTCTCGGGTGTTTCCAAATTTAATATGCTTTGTTTACATCTTAAAGTCACTCTGACATTTAAATCAGCCCAGTAATGACGTCTCTTCGAACACTTTTCAGAGTGATATTGGCTCGTTTCAAAATGGTGGTCACGGGGAAGATATAATCAAGGCTCGCTTGGAATTATTTCTGTATAATTTGTCAATATTTCGTTTCTCGGCTTTTCTTTTTTTTTCTTTTTACCGACAGACCGACCCACTTTCACGAGAGAGAGAGAGAGAGAGAGGGCGATGGGAAACAAAACATTTTATGGGGATGGCCTTGGCATCCTTTAATTAAAATTATTATTTATCGAGTTCTTAGTTAGAATGAAAGTACGAAAAACAAACTAACCGGACTACCAGAACTACAAATGGACTTCTACAATTAAAACGCAAGGTTTCACACGAAAAAAAACGTCAAGTTTTAGTCAAGGGATCGATCTAGGGAAGAATAATAAAGAATATTTATATCGACAAAACTAATATAATCCTTGCATTATGCGGCAATTTCGTCTCAAGCTCGCACGAGTCTCCCGTAGCTCAGTGATAGAGCATCTTTCCGGTGTGCGGAAGGTCATAGCTTTGACTCCTGTTGGGAGAACAGTTGAACTTTTTTTTTCGACTAGCTTGTGTCTCTGACTGAATAATATCTTTCTCAATAACAAACTACGTAACCACCGAAACATCTTTCTTTCTACTGTCATGTTACAGACAGTAACTTGTCGAAATAGTGGCATTGTTTACATTGGAATACAAATATGAATTTAACCACCAACCACAATACCAGGGATCTCTGTCGTTTTAGCAAATACATTAGATGAATAATTTATGTGGCTGTAGCTGAAAACGGAACAAGTTAAAATTGACAGGCTCCAGTCAGATGTTGCAGTTTGAGCTGAACCACCCGACGGAGCTTCTCGCGTCATGTAACATTACCGACCAATTTTTGCGACGTTTTCACCGCATATAAGACCATAGTTAACATGCTATCTGTATTTCTCTGCTGTGTTTTCGTCTTGTTGGCCTGCCTGATACCGGAGACACAAGGTAAGGCTCCCTAATGTTTGAGAATGTTCTTACATTAATGCTTTTATTTATGTTTTGGCATGTATGGTACTTTTTGGATCGAAAGATGACGATAGTCAACAGTTCTTTATTGCTTCAAGATATTTACCTGTTTGTAAGCGTTCTCTTAAACTTCCAAATATGCAGGGAAAACGAAATAGCCAGGGTGTATTCAATAAACAGTCCAATTAATGTAACAATCAACACTTTTTAAAGACATTTTGAAACATTTTTCTACATCATAATAAAACGGTTTCAAACAATGCAAAATATTGAAGGTTTATCCATAGTTAATAGAGGGAAATGGTTATGATGCCCGGAAAACTTCAAAGGAGCAAACAAAGAGGCCAATATTTATGTTGGAAGGTCCATGACCGTGCACAATCTTTTGTTTTGTGCTCATCACTATGCATGAATTACGTAATCGAAACGTTTAATTTCTATTGGTTAGTTGCTTCAACACACGTAACCACCTATTGTATTTTGTCAGGTTTTGTGCACGGTCAACCCCCAAAATAGCGAACAAAAACATATAACAAAGAACTTTGCCGGGCTTCATAACCATTTCCCTCTATTAACTATGGTTTATCCAACACGCACGATCCAATACGCGACGTTGATTCAAACGTCGAGCTACAGTCGCACTAACGTCGAACTTAATTTATCAAGTTGAGTTCGACACGACGATAGCGCGATGTTTGAACCGGGCCAAGAATTACGAATGAACTACATAGAAACATACTTCATTATCTTTCGCCAAGGGGGCTTTTCGAAGACAATGGCAACTACTTGTTATCTAATGTGGGGAGATTGTTTTGGTCCTCAAAACGTGAAGCAAATTAAACGAATTAGCAAATAACAAAATGAGACTGCGATAATTATCCGAAGGAAAGTTAATTTATGAAGTAGCGAAATTTGTAAAGGTTTCTTATTAGTGAAGCTTTTACGAAAGATTGGCTTTTAAAGTAACAGAAACATTTTTTTTTAAATAATAAAGTGATCGGTGGAAAAAAATGATATTTTTCCGGTGACCAAAAACTACTCTTTGTAAATTCAGTTCTAGAATGTGCGCAACGTGAATAATTAATGACCGTATTAGAACTTAAAACTGAGTTGAGTCATAAGTCTTTTTATTTTTTTATACTGTTCGGCTTAGCCAAAATTTAAAAATATTTGCAAAACGTTAATCTACGGTTTGTATAAAATTAGACCCATGTCGGACATTAAAATTTCGCCACAGAGAGGAAGTTCTAACTTAACTTAATGGAACATACACTGAGCCCTAAGCAGCTGATTTTAACATGTAAATTTGTTAAACAACTGCCATGCTAGAACCGGAAATTATCGGATCATTTCATAATTATCGTTCCTCGAGTTTCAAAGAAAATATGGCAACACTTTTGGTTAGGTCTCCTACTCGAGATACCTTAATAAGCAAACTAAAAACGTTTTCTAAAATTTAATGCAATATACGTTTTTGAAGACTCGGGTTTCTAAAGGTATAGCAGCGCTAAATATTTTTACTTCGAAAAACAAATCGACCAAAATTTAAATTTAAATTGTCAGTCTGGCAAGTATAGCTTCGTTTTTTTTATAATAAGAATGGAAATCATTACATGTATCCAGGGGGGGC